CTCGGTTCGAGTTCTTTTGAAGCCGGAACCCCATTCTTACTTCTTTTCTTCACCCGATTTGGGTTTAGGGTTCGATAAACCCTTTGCTTAGATCCGAAACAGATCTATCACCTCCTTCTAAATGCTGCTATTCAGTTTTCTACTCCGATAGGCTAGATGGCTAGATCTACGTCTAGTTAGGCGTCCGATACCATTGATAGGAGTAGAACAGGATCACTAGCCATAGATCTAGCATATTTACTTGCTTTTGTAATAAACAGTGAGTCCTAAAACATCTAGTAGTACAGGATTAATAGATAGAGTGAGTGAGAGAGAGGGGTGAAGGTGGTGCAAACCATCTGCCGCCTTTGAGATAGACGGGCTCGGCATCGCGGTGCTTGGTGAAGATCCGGTGGTTGTGCTGTGTTGGAGGGCGGCGGTGCAGTGGCGGCGTTGGCCGGTGGCGGTACTTTCCGTCACTGGCTGCGCATCGTCTCTTAGATTGAATTAGGGTTGTGTCGGTAGGGCAACTATAGCTCAAGTGAACCTCGTGATCTGAGCCGCCAGCCCCCACCTTTCTTTTATAGCGCGGTGTGACGGGGCCCACCAACCATGTAGGGTTGGATGCCCCCGATCAGGGCGTGGATCAATGGCCCAATTGGCCATCTAACACTTCTCAAAACGAAAGCAAGGTGACATGGGAAGCTTGGTGGAGATGACAGCGAGGAGTGGGACATGATCATGGTGCGGGTGCAGGCCGAGAGAGTGGTGTTGAGGATGACCCGTGTCTGAAATGTCAAGTTCTAAAATGCTCGATTGCCATGGAAGCCAATTAGGAACCTGGGGACCCAAATGAACAGATGAAAAATGTGCCTTGTGTAAGTTGAACGGAGGTTCCCAATGCGAATCCATGATGACTTCAAGATAAGTCTGAGAAAGGTATATTTCCTTCAAATTTGTCAAACCAGAGAAGTGATCTTCTGACATCACACCACTCAAGCTATTAGGGCCGATGTACAACTTGGTCAGATTTTTTAATGTTCCAATTTCAACAGGCACAGAACCACTTAAGTCGTTGTAGCCGATGGCAAGTATGCTTAAGGCAGTGAGGTTGAGTAGCGATTTTACTGTTGTTCCGGTGATGTTTGTCTCCTCCAACAGTAGCTCCTGCAAACTATTCCATGAACAATTTGGTAGCCTCTCTATTAGATCTATTATATATCCCCACAGATGTTGATGCCAATGAGGTCTATCATCCGTAAGCTGCACGTGTTTTTTAGTGTTGATGGTATCATCCCATTGATGTTATTGGCATCCATTTCAAGGGTCTCTAACATGGTCAAGTTTCCTAGCTCATCTGAAAAGGGGCCTGACAATTTACAAGCAACTATGCTTAGACGTACTATTGAGGCTAGTTACGTCGCAGTACCAATTGGGTGTAGTGGGAATGTTAATATGATTAATGGAGGGGTCAAGTCTCTCAAGAACCATAAGGTTATGGTGTTGAAGTGATGGGATGGAGCTACTAAGTCTGCAAAAAGCTGAGGTACAGTACTCTCAAAGTTGGGAGGGTGTTGATCAAATAAATCCAATTAAATGTCGCACTCATGTTCACGTATCCCATGTCAAATAATGCTCTAGTGAATGAAGGCTTGCTAACCATGAGACATCGGGTGAATATGCAAAGAAATGAAAGTAATCGGTGTGAATGTCGAGGTATACCAGTCTGGTGAGGCTGCCTAGCTGAGAAGGTACGCGACCGATGAAATTCATGTTTGAGAGGTTGAGATACGTCAAACTTCTAATAGAGCCCATAAATTTCGATATAGGCACAAATTGTGGTATAGGCTTCATATCGCCTCCGAGCATATTTCCGCTAAGATCAAGATGCTTAAGACGGCATAGTTCACGAAGAGATGAACTTATCTTCCCACGCAGCCAACAAACATCAGTTTTGGTCTGATAATTGTTGTTGTCCTTCCCCATCTCTCATTCTCCCTTAATACAAGGCGTTGCCGCGGCATGAACCGCACAGGCGCAGCTGTGTCTAGCCTATGGTTCACGCCCACTCGGGTCCACGGATCAGCAGGTTCGCACGCCGGGCTCGGACGCTTCGCCTTGGTTCTGGTGTGCCCGGTTTCCTTGACGCCGAGTCGCTCTCCGGTTCAACATCAGGTGTTGGGCCTTCAGTGTTGCTGACAGTTATCAACTTCACTATGTTAGAGACTCTTCACATGGGATCCACAACACTGAAAAGCCTATGTAGTTTACAGACGATAGACCTCATGTACAAATAGTATTGGTGGGGATATAACGAATATATTAGAGAGGCTGCCAAATTATTCCTGGAATAAATTGCAGGATCTATATTTGATGGAGACCAACATCACGGCATGACATTGAAATCATTGCTCAACCTCACTAACTTAAGCAAGCTTGACATCTCCGACAACTACTTGAGCGGTTCTGTGCCTGTGGAGATTGGAACATTAAAACAATTGACTGAGTTGTACATTGCCAGTAACAACTTAAGTGGGGTGATGTCAGAAGATCACTTCTCTGGTTTTACGAATTTGAATAGGAGGACGTAGGAGGCTATGTAGCACATAATTTTAGTAACTAAATAACAAACTAATTGCAAGTTTAGTGAGTTCAATACATATATATTTAGCGGGTTCAATTTAAGTTACAAGATATGAATGTAAAAAGATAAGAAATAAAACTAAGAGATGATGCTCATTAGTAAAAAAAAACTAGTTTGTACGAATGATTTAATAAGATTAAAGAAACATCTGTGCGAATGTGGGTACGGAGTCGGATGTAGCACATTATATTATATATAATAACTAGTACAGAGCACGCGCCCCTGCACACGTGGGTTAGTAGAGTGTAGGCCGTGTACGTAGAAAACACATGTTTCGTACACATACAATGGCAAATTTTAGTGCAACACATCCATGAATGAGCCGCAACTGTTACATTATATTTCAAAATCGATAATGAGTCCTCCATCTTGACAGCAAGAGATAGGCAACCGACTGACAGTAATTGTTGCATCCAAGGATTATTGTGTTATAACAACAAGGACAACTAAAATAGAAAAACATCCATAAATGACAGACCAACTGGACACAGTAAGCAGCTAACCAACGTACATGGTCAGATTTGTACTGGGAGATCATAAAGGAGAGAGTGGTCCAAAGTTGTAGTATGAATGGACCTGCAGCAACATTTGTTTCTGACGGGCCGTGTCCAGTTCATAAACCACCATCTTCAGTCTTCGTTTCAGACGGCTGTTTTGCTTTGTGTGAATGTCCTGAGCAACATTTTTCGTTACCTTTGCGGTTTGCAACTGCAGCCGGGATTGTTGCGTAGCGTTTGGGAGTTGGGAGGAAGTTTCTACATGTGTGTGGTCAGGATGGTCCGTTGTTGGCCCGGGCAATAATCTACTACGGGCCGTGACCAGGGACCAAGTAGACCTGTTCATGGGCCACCTGAACAAACCCGTCCAAAAAAAAGACCGACCAAACCAAATCATGTGTCTGGATCATGGTTTTCTAAACATGTTTACATATCAATGGTAGTGTTGTAAAAGTTTTCTAGGTTTTTTTTTTTGGATATTTTTCTATTTTTCTAGAGCTAAATTAAGTTTTTGAAGCAAAGATCTAAATATTTTATTTAGATTTTTCTATACTAATCTATCTCTATAATCTTTTTTTAGAAACGGCGCTACGTCGACAGGCCTGTGGACGCCCTTGGATTGACTAATGAATCACCTCTCTCCTGTTTCTCATGTGTACTGTGTTTTTCTTCCTTCTATGTAACAGCACCACGTAAGACGTGGACTTTCTACCGTCTTAAATGATTTGGCAGCGCTCCTGCCCGGTTTTTCAAAAAAAAAAAATTAAATCCTTTGTCAAAACAAAAATATACATGCAAACCAAACCATATGTGTCTCTTCATAAAACAACTACGATATCAAAGACAGCAAATATATATTACAAGCACACCTCTTCATAAACCAAACCATAGATATAGACTTGTATATAATTTTTATTATAATATGGTGGCACATACAGGGGAAGGTTCACATAAATCTATGAGCTAAGAAGAACTATAGGCCATGGTAACTCAAATTAGATAATGATGGGAACAACTGATACGAAATCATAGAAGCTCACTCAATGAACAATTCTCAGGATGGCCATGACCATGGGGAAAATCCTTCATGTAAGTAGATAATGACGTGACAATTAATAACAAAGGCAATCGATGCGCATCATGTAAAATGGAACTTATGGACGAGACGTGACGGTTAATAACAAAGGAAATCGATGCGCATCATGTAAAATGGAACTTATGGACGAAACATCTAGTTTGGTAGCATAAAACAATCGTTTTGCTCATCCTTGGAAACAACTGATGTTAAGAGTAATTAACACACCACCTTTTTGGCTTTTTTTGGCAGGAATAATAACTTTGTGAACCCCTGTGCAAGTCTGTTGCATTAACCGGTAAGTGGTAACTAACCGTGGCTACAACCATGGAAACTGCCTTTGCCTTGGACCATCAAAACTGCTTTTCTGGCAGTCCATAATATCATTGAGTGCTTAAAAGGATTTCTGTGCCTAATACTTTGGTGCCTGTCCATAAATCTGGCATAAAAGGAATGTTGCACAGCCAGGAAATGGTAAACGCGTCCATAAATCTGAGCCTAGTTATCCTCAAGGCATAAAATTTGGCTTCGAACCACATTATAGCAATGTTTAAGGTGATCCCATTGCATTGGCAGGAAGTACTGAATATTAACCGCGTGTATATCGCACGAAATAATCTAATGGGCTTAAAACAAACACATGGTCAGTGGTCAAGACGTAAGAAACTGGATATTTTACAAATGTATGATAATCCCGGAGCACTGTGTTTTTCTAAACTGGGACTGGGAGTCAGGCTGTGGATGACAGGGGCAGCGCTGGTAGTGGGAGGGGCGTTCGCGTGGCGGGCATCCATTGTCGGCATCTCTAAACAGACGGCCACAAGAGGTTCACTGTGGATGAACAGGGAAATGAGGCAAGGGAGCGGAGGTGGCAGTGTGTAACTACACTGCGTGCACCGGAAACAAAACTCTGTACACATGTGACTGACAAGGTGGCAAACCAGGGCAACCATAAATGTGCAATTCCTCGAGAGCAGTTAGGCGTTGTATGGATTGGGGCAAGTATTGAAGGGCAGGGGAATGCTCGATATAAAGCAAACGAAGCGCAGAGAGTTGTCCAATCCACTCCGGCAGCACCGTCAGTGCCTCTGAGATCAGTAATCCGATGCAACTCTAGAGTCCTTAGCTTCCGAAGCTTTCCAACAGACTCAGGTAATGTCACAAAACCTTTGCAGTTAACAAAATGGAGTGACTGCAAGTTCCAACACCTTGAGATAGCTTCTGGAACTGTTGTACAACTAACATTCTGGATTTCAAGATACCCAAGATACTCAAACTTTAATATGAATAGTGAAAACGGAGTATCAATTGCATAGTCCAAAACAACACTGCGCATACAACAACTATTCTTCACTGTGGTATCAAAAGTTGGCTTACTTTCAGAGATATATAGAGCACGGACCTTGTCAAATAATCCCTTGTCAACATTCTCAGGGAATGAAGTCAAAGATAAATATCTATTATGAGTAAATTTTTTTGTTGTATGAATTGGTACACAAGTCACCAGTTCATCCTTTAGTATCTGTCGAGTGAGATCATGGATCAAATCATGCATGTTGTATATATCAGTATCCCAGCTCTCATAAGCTTCCTGAAGAAACCTGACTTTTACAAGAGAATCTAAGTAGTCTCTTCCGATATCTTCGGGTTGCTCTCCATTCATTGCATTGATGAATCCATGAGCTATCCATTGGGCAATCAAACGATCTTTCTGGATTCCATAGCCCTTCGGGAATATGGAGCAAAACGTAAAGCACTGCTTCAGTTCATCTGCCAAGTGAATATAGCTCAACTTCAAGGATGCAAACACTCTGTCATTTATACTCTGAACATTCCATAAATTATTATCTCTTATGGCCCTCCACGTACTTTTTTGCTTCTTGTCACGAAGGACTGCTCCAAGAGTTTTAATTGCTAGCGGCACCCCACCACATCCCTTGATAATCTCTTTTCCGACTTGTACATCATCGGAGCTCAAATCTTGCTCTGCCCACCCATAACCCATCAGGAATAAGTTCCAACTCTCAGACTCTGATAAGAATGCCAACTCAAATATATATCCTGATTCCACAGCTTCGGCAACCTTTCGATCACGAGTGGTTAACATAATCCTTGTTTCAGGTGTGCCACATTTTAGCTGCACCATGAACTGTTCCCAGTCATGTCTGTCCTCGTGCCAAGCATCATCAAGGATAAGAAGAAACTTCTTATTTCTCAACTTCTCGGAGATTTTTTGGACCATGTGCTGCGGGGGATGGCGATCTGAATTATCTCCAACAATTGTTTGAAATAGCTTGCCGATGAGCTTCTGAACATCAAACTCTTGAGACACATGGACCCAGAATATTTCATCTCCGAAGTGCTCCTTTATCTTGACGTCATGGCAAATGTGTTTGGCCAAAGTAGTTTTGCCTGACCCCCCTAATCCGACGATAGAAACTATCATGCTGTTCTCTCCAGCATTACATTCTACAAGCTTAGATATGTTTCATCCTTTTCTTGATCCCTAAGGGGTATTTTGGACTCTGGAACCTTGCTCAACCAGGACATCTCTCCAACTGTCCTGTACCCAGTACCAACATGTTCATCCCTTGGAAATAAAGTATTGACATCACTTCTTTGCTTGACGATTGCAGCAAATCTCACCTTGATTGCCTTGATCTTATGAGCCATCTTGTATCGGAATGCAAATGCCTTTGGTTTTGCACAGAAGCAGCCAGCTATACCACTCTTGTCATCATCTCTTTCCATCTTCTGTTTCTCAGCTTCTAGCTGGACTTCTTGTAGTACATCGTCAATGTCATAAGCCACATCTTTCAATTTTACAACCCAGCGAGACTGTGGCTCACTCTGTATTGCTTTGTCACGTGCTGCCGACAGCCAGCTTGTAATCTCTGCGTGTATATCCTGGAGCTCGGAGAGATCTCTTTTTACACCGGTTATGGCAACAAACTCAGTGGCTAGCAGTGAAACTAGCTTGTCACCTGCAACCTTCAGCACTCCAGATGCTAAAGCAGCCTCCGTCCCACTCGTCATGTCAAAGAAACTCTTGCCTAAACCCCTGCGGATAAAATTGAGAAGCAAGCGGTTACAATTGAGTTTCGCAAATCAAAAACTAGTTAGGTGGCAGCAGTAATGTTTTTTTAGGAAAATATTTTTTTAGGAAGTGTGGCGGCAGAAATGTTCCAATAATAATTCTCAACTCTGGAATAAATGAACGGCCGACAAAATATCTGAGAGTTACCAATTAACATGTGTCACCCCCAGATCGGACGTGTGACAACATTAGTGGTTTGCAGATTATATTTCGTATATGTTTCGAACTGTATCCGCTTTTTCTGGGAGTCAAATATCTTATATGGGTAACACAGAAAGTCGTTTGGATGCAGGAAAATAGATCTACTAGACCGATCGGCGTGAAAATAAAATGGGAAATTAATTTGCATACCAGGTGAAGGACACACACAGTAGCAGCAGTAGAGCAACGACAGGATGACACTTTGATGCCGCCAGATGAGGGAGGGTTTTTTGTTCTTCTTCTTCTTCTTGTGAAAGAGGTGAAGGAGGCCTTTGATCAGTATGCTTGACGCTCACTGGGATTGACACCAAAAAATGTGAGTTGGTCATCGAAGAAATTCTAGGATTGACAGCAAAAACGTGAGGAGATCTGACCAGGGGAGAAAGCGGGAGGAGATGTGAGGAATTAGATTGTGCGTGTTGTGTTGGGCTTAAACCAAAGCAGATTAAGTACCTAAACTCAACTGCGGCGGGGTCCAGCTTCAGGATGCAGAGGCCTGCAGATATGAGACAGGTGATGAAGAAAATGAGCAGGTGGTCGAACCCAACGAGAAGGAGAAACAGGATTCCGGCCGAGATCATCCTTATTACCTCGGTCGCGTCGTCGTCGGCGACGAGAGGCCTCCCCTAGCCGGGTTGTGCGCGGCGGTCGATGGTCGTCACTGCTCTCTTCTCACGCCCATGGAGACGAACGGAGGGGGAGAGGAGAGAGTCAATGTCCACACCGCACTTGATTTGCGACTGGGGACCGGACGATGCTTTGCTTTGTGAGTTGGGGTGGTGGACCCCGGTCCCCGGCGGCCACTGAGAGCATGATTGCTTTTCGCCTCAGAAATCGCGTGGCAGGAGCATCTGGTCCTCGTTTAGATTGCCTCCAAATTTCAAGTTTTTTCACTCTCTTTTTATCACATTAATTTTTAGACACATGTATAGAGCATTAAATGTAGATAAAAAAATAACTAATTACGTAATTTGGTTATAAATCACAAGACGAATCTTTTAAGCCTAGTTAGTCCATAATCAGATAAAATTTATCAAATACAAACGAAACATACTACAGTATCCGAGTTACAAAATTTACGATCTAAACAACGCCATACTACGGTGGGATCACCACTGCAGAAGGCGACCCATCCGAAGAGAGAATGAATCGATTCGTCTGCGGAAGTCGACTCAGGCCCCACCAAAACGTTAAATTTTTCTATATTCTTCGTCACATCAAATCTTTAGACATATGCATGAAATATTAAATATAAATAAAAAATAAAATTAATTATATAGTTTAGATAAAATCTACGAAACGAATCTTTTAAGCCTAATTAAACTATGATTGAACACTACAGTTGCATTTTGTCAAAATTTTCAGATGTAACCCGGGCCTCACACGGATAAAAAAAAGAGGCTGGACCGCACCTTTGCTCGTGAGATGAGCAATACCAAAAGAAAAATGATTTTTTATTTGGCAATGGAAGGAATCGCTGCGGACACCGGCCAGCAATACAGCATGTTCGGGAGCTATATCGTATCGTGGATTATTTACTGTTGGTTAGTTTGGTGTAAGAGAAAAACACTATTCTTGACTGAAAATTTATGATCATTTATGAGCAAGCGAACGGGCTCATAGTTTTATTTATTCACAATGGGACCCATTAGTTTATTTAAGCGTAGAAATCGACTCATTTGTAACCTGACGTGGCTGTCCTTTTCTCCCGGACAGAATCGACTCAACCACCGCTGATGCTCTAAAGCTAGAGTTTAAATCATACTTTAATTTATATATAATATATCCTGTGGTGGGAGGTTTGAGCGTCCGGATGCCATGGACTCTGACAGTATCTACGTACGTCCCGTTCGCTTGGTCATATTTTTTTTAGTTAATATATAATATTTTTTTCTTATAATAAATTAATCAAAAGTATTTTTAGTTATGACTTATGAGCCAAACGAACGAAACATATAATAAATTTGGCCTATTTGTACCGTGGGTTAATTTTTTATTCTGGCCTAGCTATATAGGCTACTGTCAAGCTATACTGCGCCTTTGAAAAAACTGAATATCATGTAAGCTAGGCTCGAAAAGCAGAGATGCAGAGACACTAGTTGTATATGTGTGTGATGGCTGAGGTAGTCTAATCTGTTCTTGATGAGTAAACCACTGCGGTTGACGTTGATGGGAAATTCACCGAGGGCCGTTTGCATCCCTCGTTTCGGAGGAATTGGAATCTATTTCATGGTTTAGGCTATTTATTTGGAATTTGAGATTCAACTTCTCCTCAAAGTTCACATATAAGCCTATATTAAATTCATAAGGTGGGAGATGCAAATGGATTCGATAGATCACTTATAATCTGCATCTTAAAGCGCGCTCTTCAACTCGCTTCCCTACAGTAGAAATGTAACTTATAAGCATCTTCCTTGCATAGCTAACAATTATACGCAAATATATTCTATATACAGGAATATTAGCTTGACTAATATGTGCCTAAATTATAATTTATTAGAATAAATTCAATTCCAAGAATCCAAACGGGTAGAAATTATTTGTAAGTTGGAGAATTCTTTTCCATATATACTTTTATGACGGTAGTGATGCTGTACGTGGAGAAAATCCATCTTCTGTTTCTCAGCTTCTAGCTGGACTTCTTGTAGCATACGCTCTCCGTCTCCAAATAACTGTCAGTGTTGGTGTGCGTGCCGTAAGTTTGACTCAATTTATAGAAAATGCGTGTAACATTTATATCTTCAAATAAATTTATTAAAAAACTAAATTCAAAGGTATTTCCAATGATACTAATTATATACCATAAATATTAATATTTTTTAACATATATTTAGTCAAAAGCATCACATCTTTCAATTTTACTATCCAGGTAGACTCTGGCTCACTCTATATTGCTCTGTCATGTACTGCCGACAGCCTTGTAATCTGTGTGTGTATATCCTGGAGCTCAGAGAGATCTCTTTTTACACCGGTTATGATAGCAAACTCGGTGGCTAACAATGCAACTAGCTTGTTGAAAGCATCTAGGCTCTTAGTGGGTTTCGGTGATTAATGACATCGTAAAATTATTGTGACTAACGTGTGTTTTGCAGAAACAATTTGAGTTAGGTCACGATAATGGTGATTGTTTGGGCAATCAGTGGTATTCATGCCCCTAATGATGGAAATCATTTCGGTTTTCAAAGGATTGACAATAAGGCTAAGCATGGCCAGTTCTAAGTGTCGCTTGGCGTTGGAGAGACACTTAGATTAGTTTAGGGCTTTGTTTTTTCCTTTGGTCGTACTATAAAGGGGGGGTATGAATTAGTAGCTTGACCTAGGTGAGTCTAATAGTTTAGGTGTGGTGCACACTTGTCAAACTTAGCACTAGGTAACTCAGGTATAGCCCAAAGATCATTTGAAGTCAACTCCATTCACAAAGTGTTTTGAATTGGAAGTGTTTGGAGCTGAGACAGAGGCACCGGACGCTGGTCCCCGTGGGACCGGACGCGTCTGGTCAGTGTTAAAACAAGGTTGAGCAGCATCGGACGCTAGTACCCGTGGGCCCAGACGCGTCCGGTCAAGTGTAAGGCAGTGCAGGTGAAGTCTAGAACTGACCAAACCCTGGCATAGTGTCCTCACCGGACACAACTGTGCCTAGAGTTTAGTTGCCCGTGGCACCGGATGCTGGAGGCCAGCGCGTCCAGTGCAACTCAGAGAGGTTTCAGAGAGTGTTTTTCAGGACCGCACGCGTCCGGTCAGTATTGATCGGATGCTAGCAGAGTCCGGTCAACTAGCCGTTGGATTACGTCACGTAGCCGTTGGCTACGCACCCGACGCGTCCGGTGTCCCTAACAGGCACGTCCGGTGCATACTGAAAAGCTGAGTTGGAACTCCAACGTGTATGTTTGGTTGTGGGGGTTATAAATACACCTCCTACTCCTCCAACATACCTCTCTTGCTCATTTGATCAGCTGAGGCAACCATTGGAGTTCTTGTGAGAGCAAGTGCCTAGTGAGGCGATTGAGATTTGTTAATCTAAGATTAAGGACCTAATTATTAGTGTCTAGGGAGTAGCAAGTGTGCATCCACCTTCCTCATTAGGCTTGTTTAGGTCAAGTGAGAGTTTGTGCTTGTTACTCTTGGTGATCGGCATCACCTAGACGGCTTGGTGGTGATTGGGAGCTTGGTGATCATCCGATAGAGCTTGTGGATGACCCAACTCATCTTGTGAGCGGTTGTGGACGATTCACCATGCCGGAGTGGCGAAGAATCTGCCCGTAGAGAGCACTTGATCCTTATGGGGATCAAGGGGGAGTGATACACTTACGTGGGTGCTCCAACGAGGACTAGTGGGGAGTGCCGACTCTCCGATAGCTCGGCAAAACATCTCAGAGTTCCTTCCTTCTCTTTACTTTAAGCATTTACATTGAGCAATTCATTTCATGTCTTTACATTCTTAGAATTGCCATGCTAGAGTAGGGTTCGAACCTAGGTTGCTAAACTCTTTGTGCGAATAGAACAATAGGACACACTTTTAGGCACTAAGGGTGAAGTGGGCTAAGTATAGGAGTTAATTATTGCCAGAATTTTTTAGAGAAGCTGTTTACACCAAAATTTGGTAGAAGAACGTAGGAACTCAAAGGTTTCCAAGGTTGTACCAATTAAGGAATCGATTGCATGAGGATCGATATCAGCCGGTTCGGATGCGACACTGGAATCGGCTCTATTTGAATGATGTCAACAGATAACGATGATCAGCTATGATTGGCGTCGGGAAGATACATATCGGACTCTACAAAAGGAGAAAGATTAGGGTCCAAGTTATCTTAAGATAGGAATGTTTTCTTCATACCAAAGATTGTATCGAGTCATACTTGAGTAGGATTCGTGTTTAGGCTCCGGGTATAAATATTGAACCCTGGCTATTGTAAGGGGCATCAACCAATCAATCAAATATAAGTTACTTACTTTTTCGGCTTCGACCACCCCTTAGGAGTAAGAGTAGAGTAGATCTCAGCGAGTTCTTCAGCGAGCAGGGCTGCATCGGTCCGGCCGACCTCCGGCTTGTCTGTAAGTACCGTCATGGCTTATATTTCTGTTCGTAAGGCTGCATCGATTCGGTCGACCTCTACTGCGACTCTGGTATAAGTTAGTTATCGACTCTTGTCTAGTTTAAGTATGGCTGCATCGATCCGGTCGACCTCCACTGCTCAAACTAGATTAAGGTCAAATTATCGGCTCTATCTAAGGGTGGCGTCCTTCGGATAGATTCATTAAGTTACCAATATTGCTTTTTGCTTTTATTATTTATTTAATTACAGCAATATCACTTTACCCGATTGGGATTGATCTAGATCACCCTTATATCATGTGTAACCCATCGTTTGTTAATCTAAACTGATCTAATCTGCGCTTTAAATGATGAGTTATGTTTTATCGGCTGTTTTATGTCAATCTTGATCGTGCATTATGTGCGGTTAAGGCATGCCAAGTCTTGAATAGATTTATTGGCTAGCGAAAACTGTTCCATGGCCCGTTATCACGGCCTGTGTGATTCTGCCTCACACCCCACTATTAGCACCGTGGAGCGAGGATCGTT